GTGTATTCAAGACACAACCACCCTTTTTCAATGAAAATACTTCAAACTCGTGCAACGTAAAAGAACCGAGGTAGGTACCGTCTTTCCCCATATGACGTGAAAGGTCGGGTGTATTCAGGGCACAACCATCTTGTTTAATGAAAAAACGTCAAACTCGTGCGACATAAAAGAGTCGAGACATGTATCATCTATTCTTGTATAATGTGAAAGGTTGAGTGTATCCAGGGAACAACCACCCTGTTTCAATGGAAAAACATCAAACTCGTTCTACAAAAAAGAGCTGAGGCAAGTACCGTCTATCCCTGTATAAAGTGAAAGGTCAAGTGTATCCAGGGCACAGCCACCCTATTCGATGAAAAACATTAAACTTGTGTGACGTAAAAGAGCCGAGGCAGGTACCGTCTATTCTCGTATGACGTGAAAGGTCGGGTGTATTAAGGGCACAACCACCCTGTTTAATGAAAAGACGTCAAACTCATGCGACATAAATAAGCCTAGACAGATACCGTCTATTCTCGTATGATGTGAAAGGTCGGGTGTATCTAGGGCACAACCACCCTGTTTCAATGGAAAAATGTCAAACTCGTGTGACTTAAAAGAGTCGAAGAAGGTACCGTCTATCCCCGTATGATGTGAAAGGTAATGTGTATCCAAGGCACAACCATCTTGTTCGATAGAAAAACGTCAAACTCGTGCGACGTAGAAGAGCCAAGGCAAGTACTGTCTATCCTCGTATGACGTGAAAGGTTGGGTGTATCTAGAGCACAACCACCATGTTCGATGGAAAAACTTAAACTCATGCGACGTAAAAGAGTCGAGGCAGGTACCGTCTAACCCAGTATGACACAAAAAGGTCGGGTGTATCCAAGACACAACCAGCCTGTTCAATGGATTCCGTCTATCCCCATATTGACGTAAAAGGGTTGGGTGTATGGTCCATCACTGCATGACGCTAAACTGCTTAGAGGGCTCTATGATTGCAGAAGTTAAAACTGCTAACCAACCTTGTTTTTCAAAATATCTTTCTCTTTTTAAAATTTTCACTATATGTCTTGCGTTTTCAAAAAACTTTTATTGCTTTGTTAAAATTGTAACATGTCATTGCTCCGAGTTCTATTTCAAATCTCCCCCTACTTTCAAAAAAATTCTAAAAATTTTGTTAAAAAACGAAGGAGCTTGGACACCCGTAGATGATGATTATCGCGTTGCCATGATTGCCGCGTTGCTGCCTCGTCTCTCACTTCAGATTCGGTCATACATGTCTCTTCCTATAGAAAGCATTTTCCTATAGACAGCCTTAGGAAGCCCTAAGGAGATCAAAGAAAGTGTCAAGGTTAAAAATTCAAACTATAAAAACCCCTGAAGTTGAGTGACATGGCAAAAAAATTCAACTTGAGTTTCAAACTTGTGTAATTCACCGACATCTCACGCCGAAAACCCTACGAGGAAAAATGTTGTAGGTAAGTGAGTTTGGTGAACGCAATGACTTGGAAGGATAGTTGGTGTGCCCCGTGACCACGTGACCTCAAGAAGAAATTTAAAATGTCTTTTTTATCTTTGACGTTCACCTGCCCCTCGAAGGACAGGGAACGCCAAAGTATTTACTTCTTTACCACTCACTTGTCCCACGAAGGATAGGGAGTGCCAAAGAGGGACAACTGTAAACACCCCATTTTAAATATGGAAAATTCTATGATTTTCTAAAACCTTAGGACCATATTATTCTATTAGACCCATTTTAAAAACTACCCAAATCCTATCCCAAATTGAAGTAGAGCCCAGAGCTTTCTAACGGTCCAAGAATCGTCGGAATCGGACCTATGGATAAAAAGATATAACAAATAACAATTTAGTCCCTGTGAGACCCAACTGTCGAGCCGCAGGCCGGGCTGTAACGGACCCGACAGGCCCAGACACGGGCTGATGACACTGTCAACACATCTGATGGTGTCGTAAACATGTTTTCTTTAATTAGATAAAGTTAAAACTTTAAGACAAATCCAAAATATTTTTTAAAAAAACTCCAAACAAATTTAGAAAAAATCACCAAATGAATCTTACAAATACCCTCTCTCCCTACCCAAAATGAGAGAGAAAAAAAGACAAAAAAAACAATAGAAATTCTCAAAATTAAGAAAATTAACCAAAACTACGAAAAATAGGAAAAACCCTTAGAAAATTCCTAAAAATTTAGGAAAATTCCCCAAAAATCCAGAAAAATTAGAAAAATTCTCAGAATTCATATTCAACCTCTGGAGATCAAAAAAACCTTAGAAAACAAAGAAAATTCTCCTCCAGGCCTGAGAGAAACAAATAGAAATTGAAACCTTAGAGTTTCAGAAAGACAGAAAACCTCTTAAGACCATAACCCCCAAGCTTGAAAAAACCTAGACCTAAGGCACAACAACCCTAGATCAAAACTAGACTTAGGGCACAACAACCTTAGATCTAACCCTTCTACACCAGAGATCCATTGGTCAACATCCGAATCAGATAGGCAAAGAAGATCTATTCTGATACAGGCGAGCCCTCAAAAGCTCAGGAACCCCGGGCCAACCGCCCCGATTTGGTATTGTTTCTTCCTCTCTCTTTTTATTCTTTTATTATTTTATTTCTTTTTTCATTTATTTTGATATGTTAACTTTGTCTTAAAATCGTATTTTAATGTTTTGGATCACGCTGGCTCTACCACAAATTTAAGAGTAGATCTACTCGTTTTTTAATAGATTTGGCCTCAGATTTGAATTCAATCAAACTCACTTTCTCTACCATTTTATTTACATCTATTTTATTAGTTTAAAGTATTAAAATTCGAGAGATCTTCATCAAAAAATCTGCCAGATTTTCATCGTAAACAAAAGTACTTAAGGGTATTTTGATCATTTGTTCCAAAAAGATATTATTATTTTAATTCATTAAATGTGTATTTTTTTTATAATCTCAGGTACTTTTGAGTATTCCACCCTTGTTTAGTGGTTGCTCTATATACGGAAACCCAAGTCACTTGTAAAAACCTGTTGGTTGAACTCTTGCACCCATGCTTAGGGCTTGAATATTGAAGAATTTGGAGCAAATTCTTACTTATCCTTTTTGCTTTGTTCTCAAGTTCAAGATTCAAGATGATAGGAAAGAAAAATAGCCGTAGACCACCATACACCATATCCCTTTCCCTACACCACACATCATAGCCCCTTCCCTACACCAGACACCATAGTCCCTTCCCTAACCACACATCATACACCATAGCCTATCTCCTTTCCTCCACCACATACCATAGCATGTTCCCTACACCGTACACTGTAGTCCCTTCCCTAAACCATAAGCCATACACCATACACCATAACCTATCCTCTTCCCTACACTACATACCGTAGCCCCTTCCCTACACCATACACCATAATCCCTTCCCTACACCATACACCTAACCTTGAGCCTTAGTCTTGACCCAAGCCTAAACCTTCTCTCTTATATTCATGCAAAGGGCAAAGGGACCTATGGGTGTGTCCCTAAGCTAGAACACACCCTAAGTCTACTCTCTCACCTCTCTCCCTCTTCCCCTTCTCTCTCCTCTATTTCTTATTCTTCCCTCTCTTTCTCTCACTTCTCTCCCTCTCTCTCTCTCTCACTCTCTCACGTCCCATTTCTGGACCCGCGCCTAAGGGTCGGCCCAACATTCTTGACCTCTTCCCTCTTGCTCTCTCTTCTCTCTCTCACACACATGTAGTTCCTAGATCCATGCCTAAGGGAGGGCCCAACATTCTTGACTTTTCTCTTCTCTATTGCTCTCTCTTCTCTCTCTCACACACATTTAGTTCCAAGACCTATGCCTAAGGGCGGGCCCAACATTCTTGACTTTTTTCTCTTCTCTTGCTCTCTCTTCTCTCTCACATCTAGTTCTTGGACCCACGTCGAAGGGTGGGCCTACAATTCTTGACTTCTCTATCTTCTGTCTTGCTCTCTCTTCTCTCTCTCTCTCTCACATCTAGTTTCTGGACCCACGCCTAAGGGCAGGCCCAATATTCTTGACTTTTCTTTCTCTTTGCTCGCTTGTCCAACTCCCTAATTTCCCTGCACGTCCCTAATTACGCACTCCCCTGCATGCACTTCCCTGCACGCCCCTAACCACACACTTCCCTACGTGCCCCTAACCTTGCACATTTGAGCACGCCCCTCACTACGCACTCCACTGCATGCCCCCAACCCTGCGCACTCGAGCACGCCCCAAACCTCACACTATCTAGACACACCCCCAAGCCCAGACACTCCCCAAATCTAGGGACGCCCTAAGACCAAACACACCCATACCCTTGTGCACCCTAGCATGCCCCAAACCCAAACACGCCCCAAACTCTACACTTCCAGACACACCTTCTCCCCGCATGCCCTTTCCCAGACACGCCCCAACCCCAAACACACTCAGGCACGCCCCAAACTCTGCACACCTAGACACGCACCAAACCTTGTTTCCCCCAATCACCCCCTACAAACCCAAACACGCCCCAAACTCTACACACCCGAACACGCCCCAAACCCAGACACGCTCCAAACCCTATTCTTCCCAATCACTTCTATCTGCCCTATACTCTCACACCCATACACGCCCTACATCAAACCAACTCCAACTCTTACACGCCGCCCTTTATTTCATCATCTCTTCCATCTCTTTCTTGGTAGGTTGCTTGTTTCATTTCTTGAGCACTTGGCTTGGGATCTTCCTGAGATAGAGCCTTAGGGTTCTAACTCTCGGATTGCTACTCTAACCTCCATTCCATACAGTAGAATCAAGTCGTAAGAGATATTAATTCTCTTGCACTTGGTCACGCGGGTGGGGTCATCTTGAGTCAGCTTTCCTTAGAGTTCCGACTCTTTCGCTACTTTAACCACCCGGTCACACAGTGTTTGAGTCGTAAGAAGCTTCATTTTTTCTCTTTCTTATCCCGTTAACCACCCTATCCCGAATACTAGAGCCACTCACTCGAAAAGTCCATTGGAGAGGAGCATTTTCATTTGAATTCCATTAGCAGTTTCTATGAAAGAGCTGAGGTGAAGTGTTGAGTTCTGAGAGAAGCCCGTGTCCAAACCATGTTGCTGGACAGCCGGAAGGCTTTCATTTATTGATCTAAGAGGGAAATAGCCCCAGCTTATCCCACAAACTCATACCGCAGTGAGTTATATGCTCGAGTCCATCTCTTTATCGTATTAAAATCCTCTCATTGTTGAAAATACCTATCCGCAAGTGACACACCAGTCGTGCAAGGGACCCGCGCACAGTCAAGCAATTGTTTGAGAGGGTGCACCAGGCGAGATGGATCCAGGCCCAACCTGTAGGCCTCACAACTTCTTCAACTTCAGTATCTTTTGGGGCTTCCTTTCCCTTCTTCATTCCTTTCTCGCCATAGTTGTCCAATCATGGCAGTCATAAGGGCATATGGCAGCTGGAGCAGAGTGAGCCCCAATACCAATCGAGGCTTTTTGGTCCTGTGTGGGCCAGCGTTCAGCCCCTCTCACCACACGCCTCTCCTACAACACGCCCCTCCTTCCATCTAAAAAGTTAACAAAGACCATCAAATGGGGACTTGGTCTTACCCTAAGGAGAAAGAAACTCGCATGACTTCTCATCGGTGGCCATCAACCTAGGGACACCAATTGTCTTATAATCCTTGGGGTAGTCCAACTCAAAGATCTTTGAGAAAGTAGGTGGGGGCATACTTATGTCCATGCTTCGTCTCCCACTTCACAGACAATTTTCGCCTTTCCAAGTATGATTCGCTTGCCAATAAGAATGGTTGGTAGTATTCCACCTCCTCCAATACGCTTCAGTTGCTCGATCAATGTGGCCATACTTAGGGACCATGAATTTTCTCACCCCAGAAAGATCAAGGAAAGTGGCCTAAGCAGTTCTCATATGCTTCTCTATCCATGCCTCATGCCCTGCACCAAGGGCATCCTTACCCCTCGAAGAGCCCACCTTCCCATACCACTTTTCAAAAAACACGGGATATGAACACCGCTAATCAAGGCCGTGTTGGCTAGCAAACCAATAGGGGGGTAATAAGCTTCAAGTTTCTTGTCACTAGACATGCGAAAAGGCTAGATGCACCCCCTTATGCTCAGAAGATACATCAACTTGCGTGCCTTAGTAGGAGCCCCATTAATCTCATTGAAAACATCTAAGAAGGCCCGATCAATAGGGCCACCAATGGGGAAAGGGGTAGCATGCCGAAAAAGGGAGTCTCCACCAAAGAGACATTGAGCATCACTTGGTGTTTGAAAGAAGGCCTTCTTCCCTGTGATGCGCATAAGTTGGGGACATGAAAACTCTGAGAAATGCACATTCACCTGATAAGTCTTAGGGAAATATGCCAAGAGCCACCCATAAACATAGTGTACTAGAAATACGATCCTGAACTGGTCAAGGAGAGTCTCTTCTTCTGGTAGTCCACACTCCTATGTGGGTTTCATAACCTTTCCACAAGCAATTGTCCCCAGGCCATGGTAAATATTACACAAGCTGGTTGTACTAAAGCATACTTGTGCCCATCAACCATCTCACAAGCCATGTACAAGAATCCGGCCCGAATGCGATTACCTCTCGACCGCAGGAGAGAAAATTTGCATAAAAATAAAGCCAGATAAGATGTCAAATTTACCTAATATTTCGCAGGTCTTCGAGGTAGAATCCCTGATTCTACCGACTCTTTTCCCTTCTCATCAACGGCCTCATCAGGAAGAGACTTCCCACCGTTGATGCTATAACCCAACTCCCCTTTGTCTCTCAGGGTCCCAAAAAAATAAGATTGCCACTTCAAAAAGCTTACATGCCCATATTCCTCCTCTAAGCTCAAAAGTTGATAGACCTCGAAAAGCTCATGAAGCTCAGAAGGTGATGACTTGCTATCTATCAGGTGATCCCCAAAAACCACCCCATTGATTAGTACAAAATCATCATAGATGTCCCCTGGCATGGGCAATCCACCTGTGAAGTGAAGATCTAAAAGAGAGAACAAAACTTCAAGAGTTGCTCATGTAACTCCAGGATTCTAATAGGGCTTTCATGGTATTTGAGTAGCGGTCATAATAACCTGCAAAGCATTGGCAAGCTGCAAGTAAAGAGCATTTCTTCAGGTGCTCTTCATGATGACTCAAGATATCTAGAGTCCAAGAGCAATAGCCCTCAAATACTGATGCTCGCCTTCAAATCAAAGGCTATGAGGAGACCACACCAAATCCTCATTTGTCATCATCCTCTTCCCAAGAGTGATCCTCTTCTCAAGAATGGGGAGGTCTAAGCTCCCAGTGAAGAAAGTGGAACATGGACATCCGGTTTCCTTCCTCCATGGGTACACCCTCCTTGGTCTCACGAATTTGAAACAGATAGTATCACCCACATAAGTGATACTCAGTGGCCACTTTAGTTCTCGGACAGGGGTGAGGCATTTGAGATACTATCCCCTCGTGAGCATGACCCCAATGTACGTGTTAGTCCCCACCTCTCCAGGTTTTGGAAGATTGCTTACATCAGGGACATCACCTATGAAAGCACAAAAGAAAGTTCATTACTAGGGGCTTTGTAAAGGAAAAGAGAGCCACCTATTTTTGAAAAATTTCACCAGCATCCCCCTAAAACAGGGAAATCTGATGACATGGAAACGTGCTTGGCTAGCCCAAATCACCCTGGAGCATTCAGAGGTGGCTATACTGGAGGATCATGCCCATCTAGGATGTGCCCTAAAAGAGCCCTCTTTCTATTTAAAGGCATGCGAAAATATGGGAAAGCATGAAAACGGCATGCAAAACCATGGAGAAAGCATAAAAAGCATGTAAAAGAACAAAAGAAAGAAGAGGGATAGAGCTCACCTCCCTCGGAAACTCGAGATGAACTCACCAATTCTCTAAGCTCTTCAAAACTCCAAGCCTCTTCAAAGCTCCCCTCTTCCTCTCTAAAAGAGTTCTCACCACTTTCTCTCTCTAAAAAGTGAAAATGAGAAGAAGTGGTGAAAAAAATGAGGCCCCAGACCCCTTTTATCGGCGAGTGAGAAAGTCAAAATGGATAGTTATCCCATAAACCCGTCCAACTCCCTAATTTTAAAAAGACCCACTCTAGCTAATGGGTATTTTTTAAAAACGCGAGGGACAAAAGGGTAAGAGGTAAGGAGCCAAAAAAACATCCATAACCCCTCACACAAGCCCAAACGGTGAAAATCCTGTAAGGGCATAACCATCCAAAATCTATCAAATGGCCTCGGAATCGCATGGGACTGGGCCTTTCGTGAAGAGAAAGTCTGGCCTAGTCAAGAATGGCTGGGCTCATCTCGAAAGAAGGCTGAAATTACAGCCCACTATAACCCAAAAGGGGGGATTGAGCCCCCATTTTCTCTCTCTATACTCTCACATCTCTTTCTCTCACGCTCGAGCGAGGTGGCCTAGCCGCTGACCCAATGCTTTCTCTCTCCCCTCTCTCGTCCCACTCTCCTCTCACGTCCCTTCATCGTGCCTATGACCTAGCCGTGGTCACACTCTCTCTCTCTCATCTCACCATGCCCACAGCTTAGCCGTGGGCACACTCACTCTCTTCCCTCTCATCTTACTCTCACCCTCATCCCAAGCCGTGGGCACATTCTCATCTCTCCCCACTCGTCTCACCCCCACTCATCTCACCGTACCCACAGCTTAGCCGTGGCACACTCTCATCTCTCCCCACTCATCTCACCCTCTCTCCCTCTCTACACCATGCCCACGGCTTGGCCATGGGCACAAACACATTCTTCTTCTCTCGCCTCGTACTCTCTCATCACTTCATCTCTCCCTCATCACACCGTGCTCATGGTTTAGCCATGAGCACAAACACACTACACTCATGCTCTCTCATACTCGCACCATTTCAAAACCTATGGCTCAACCATTGGCACGCAACCACACTCTCTCATGCTCTCATCTCTCATCTCAAAGCCCATGGCTTGGCCATGGGCACTAATGCACCCCCTCAACTTCATCTTCCTCATATTTCAAAAGCCCATGGTAAACACCTTCTCCCCCTAGCTTTTATCTCTTTCTCCCTTTTCTTTCACTCACTTCACGTCACTTAGCACACACAGTGGCTTGTGCATAAGCTCGACCTGTGTTACTCGGACAAACTCGCTCGTCATTCCTGACGACTCATTCGCCACCCTTAACCTTGATGACCATCATCGCTCACATGATCTTCACTTCAAACAACCCGACCTTTTATCACCACCATCAAGCATCATTTCAAACGATTGAGCGCTCCACCAACACCCGTTCCACCAATAAGTCACCATTCACAACCACCATCATTTCAAACCAATACCACCATTCATTATCTCCTGTGAGCTGCCTCACCTACCTCATGAAACAAACTCATCATCCCGTTGAGCCCATTCGTCACCTACCCCATGAGGCAAACCACTATCACCTAGGAGCCTCATATGCCTCATGCAGAAGACCACTATCCCCATGGAGCCTCATATGTCCTAGTGAACTTTTACCTTATCCATTCCATGAGAAAAACCATTACCCCATAGAGTTTCACCCACCTCATGGAACAAACCATTATCCCCAGTAAGGTTCACTCACCTCAAAAGGGAAACCATTAGCCCCAAGGAGCTTCACCCACCTCATGAGGCAAACCACTATCCCTAGGGAGTCTCGTACACCTCATGGAGCAAACCACCCTCACTCCTCTGTAAGCCTATATTTCACCCATCCCTTGAGGTGAACCACTATCCCTCGGGAGCCTCATACGCCCCAATGAGTTTCACTCACCTCACAAAAAACCATCCTCACTCCCCGACGGACCTATACCTCACCCATTCCGTGAAGTAAACCATTATCCCCAAGGAGTCGCCTCTATCTCATGGAATGAACCATACACTCCATATCACCATTCCACCTTGATTGGCTCAACAATTCTCTCATCACCCTTTTTGGGACATCATTCGAAACTAGGAATAAGTGCTCTCATCTAAGCCAATACCACCCCCAGTGACCTCTCACATGCAGCATCCAATCCCTTGGAAGGTCACCCAGACAAAGTGCCTCACCGCGGGTGAGTTCATCATCAACCCCTATCTCACATACATACCCATGGGGACTTGATTACATCAATGCCCATTGGAGTCATCAAACCTTGAGTGGCCACTTTTATTAGACCACGCCGTACTCTCGAGGTAGCACGTGCACGCCACCTGGCATCATTCAAACTAATGAATGAATGCCCCATGGAACCTACCGCTCCTCAGCTGAGTCATTAACCCATTTCAAGTAGCCACTTCCATTGGGCTACCTTATGGCACCAAAATGACTCAAAGCCTGCTCATTCACCATTCTAAACCATTACATCCTCAGTGGAGCCTCACTCAAGACTCTCATCTCCCCAAGTGAGTCTCATGACCTACCATTGAGCTTTCACCACCATTGTCACAATAAGGTGACCTTCCCATCATCCATCATGCATTCATCATCGTGATGCCAAAAAGAAAAATAACGATGGATGTAGCCATGAAGCTATGGGTAAAAGAGTGCAAAAAAATCAGGCATGGTGAAAACCAGAAAGGGTTCCATGAGTAAAATGAAAAAATGATGGGAGAAGCCACGAAGCCACGAGTAACAGCATTCAAAGAAAATTGGGTATGGTGAAAACCCGAAAGGGCGTCATTAGTAAAAATGGAAAGGTGGACGTGGCCATAAAATCATAGGTAAAAGAGCCCAATAAAGAGGGAGTTGGTGAAACTGCTCTGTGGCACCACCTCCACCCAGTTTAGGAGAAAACCCGAAAGGGCTCCTGGACCAATAAACAGGTTGATGCAGTGCTCGCCTCCACAAGCGGCTTAAGCCACCTCCTTCATACAAAAGTTTGGTAGTGTGGGAGTCAACGCCCCTCACTAGGGTACCCTACCATCGAAACCAAAAAGAGCTTAAGAAAATGCTTCAACAACTTGGGTCAGCATCCAAAGGATTCCTGAAAGTCAAAAAAATAACAAAGATGGCACGTCAGATCAGTCACATGCCGAAGGAATTCCCAACTACGAAGCCAACAAAACTAGCAAATCAAGCCGACAAAGTGGATCTCATCCCAAATAGTCTTATCAACTGTCAAGCCAGGTCAGCACCTCGGTAGATTGAGTAACTGTTTTAATCAATGTTCGCAAAATCGAACTGGAACGGTTAACCGGTTTTGGGGCTGGGAGCGATTTGAACCGAAACCGGACTGACAGGGACAGTTAACCGGACTACCCGATCAAGTAGATTTTAAAAAAAAAAGGTAAAAAACATCCAAAAAAATTTTAAAACAATAAATATTTTTTTAAGTGTATACTATTATATTACATACATTTATCTTATAAAAAAAATTGAAACAACTTTTATATAATTTAATAGTTGAATCCTATGAAATATGCAACACAATTTATAATTTTACATTAATTCAATAATGAAATTACAAAGTCCAACTAACAATAGTTAGTAGTAATGAGAGTGGCGAGGGGGATCATGGTATTGTTGTGTTTCACTATCAAGGTTTACAGAGCGAAAAATCTGAGTAAGGCTTGGAGGAGTCTGTAATGCCGCAGATGTGCCCCCTCTCCAATCAGGAACATTTCCAATGGTACCCCCTTGACCAAAGTCTCCTATACTCGTCCAACCTTCATCCTTTCCCCCACCCTGTTCTATGTTACCCCCAACCTGTTCTGTGTTATGGCGCTCAACAGTTTCAATATTATCATCATTATGAATAACCAGGTTACGGTGATGGCTACAGCTTCGTCTCTCCCTTGTCGAGTAACTTCTTCGCCTCGATGCCTCGACTTCCTAGCCAATCTCATTAAATCTTCATGTTTATCAGACACCGCATGATATTGCGCCCCTTCACATTCCTGGATGACTGGTTCTCATCAGTTGTTTTCCATTGTCCCTTATCTCTTCATCATCCTGTGCCTCATTTTCATCCTATATATAATCATCATCCATATCCATTGTCATGTCTCCTTCATTGGATGCTGCAACATCCACATTATCATCCATATCGGCAACTACCTCACTAAGAAAATCTTGATCTAGTAGTGGGGTCCTTAGTGATACCCACTCATCGGTGACGTCCCTCTGAAAGATGTAATCAAGGTTGATCGGCGTGTAGTCTGTGGGGGTCCTCCTTATATGTCTCTCTCTCAATTTCAAATCATAATGAATGTACACCAAGTTGTACAGCGTCTAAGTCTTTAACATATTTAACCTTGGAACGTGTATCGACTGAAATGTACTCCAGTTTCTCTCACAGCCCGAGGCAGCACATGTTTGACTCAAAATTCTAACTGCAATCTTTTGCAATTGCTTTGTTCGAATTCTGTGTATCGTCCACCATTGTGCTAACACAGACAGACAGAAATAGTTAACAATAGAAAATAAATTGATTTAAGAAAAAAAAATCACAAATAATATTGTACTAAAATATTGCAAGTTTTAACTTAAAACGAACGTGGATGCAATTTTCCAGTTGCTTTTTGGCATTATTGTATGCAAATTCCCCATTATTTTCCATGTACATGATAAGCTAGAAATAACAACATGCGTGTACAAGAAATTAGTGCTACATAGAAATGCAATTCATTATTCTAAATTGAAATTTTATTATAGACATATTTTGATTAAGGTTTACCTGCTTCATACATTCCATCTGAGTTTCAATATCAGGCTCAAGCCTCTAGATGCAGTTTCTTACCCCCTCCATGATATTTTCATCATCAAAAGTGGCATTAGAGTACAAATTTTATGGATTAAGAAAGAGCCATGCACATGGTTTGTTATATTATTAATTACGGTAACTTTACTCGGAGTTGAAAAAGAATCATGAGTTGCGATAATGAATCATAAATTATCTGCTGCATGGATATCCCCGTGCAGTTGGTCTCTCCACCTACAATCAACGATCTCCAGTATCTCTTCAATCCATATGTTATT